ACAGATCTCTTTTGAGTCTCTGATGTCCCTTTCATTGATTTTTAGAGAATTAATCTGTCGTTTCCTGTCACCCTTTCTCAGGAGGGACCAAAATAACTTTTGGTCAATGTCATGCATTTTATCTATGTCACTGAAATATTCTGCTTCGTAAGCAGCTGCAGCGTCCCGCAATGAGTTTCTAAATATGTCCTTTGCCCTTTTGTATTCACGAAAGGATTTGTATTCCATTCCCCATGGGGAGTCATTGTCCTTCCACTGCTGTCGTGCACTAGTCATCAGTCTGTGATTTGAAGGGTTTGAAGGGTTTGAGGTAAGGTTTGTAAACTGTTTTGGGAAGGCATTCATCAGCAGCTTTAGTTAGAGAGTTAACTAGTGATGTGTAGTAGCTTTCAATTTCGGCCTCCGACGGATGTTCAGGTAGACTTGGGATGCTCCAAAGGATATGTGAAACAGCAAAAGTGTAGTCATTGATTGCAACAGATCTACAGGCCTTTTCCCATGCAGGTTTCGAACGATCAGCACTGTCTGCAGGCAAGTGATACCCACTGATGCGAATGGAGCAGATTACTGGGTGGTGATCAGACACGTTATATGGATGATCATCCTTTACTTCTGCTTGACAGATGGATATTGCCCAATCCTTTGGGATAAGAATGAAGTCAATTGTTGACTGTGGGCCTCCATCATAAGCCTGAAAAGTGTGAACTGGTCCAGTGCACATTCGAAGCATATTGACTGCAATAAGGCAGTGTTTTTCCAAGAGGTTTTTGAGAACAACATCTCTGTAATCCAAGGGGAACTGGGCTCTGGCACAAGAGATTCTTAAAGTCACCAAGTACACAAACATGTCCCTTGAGTGAATAGGCAGACGATAGGTCATCAAGTAAAGTAACATTTTCCCTGAACAATTCGTTTGATCTGTTGGAGGGTGGCATGTGCACTGCAAGGACATAGATTTTTGTGTCTTGAGACAGAATTACCTCAATGCCACAAACACAATCCAAGTCTGTAATAACCGAGAGAAGACGTGTGTGGCATAGGATGGCTATGCCTCCAGATGCAGCATAGTTGCACGAATCCTTACATTCTGGAGCAGGTTGTGCAAAGGCTACTAAGTCCCTGTTGATTGAATTGAGGAATGGCAAGTTGTAACTTCTCAGCTGATGATCTGAGATTACACAGATATCGACACTGATTCAGGTAGAGCGCGCCTGCCATTATCCCTCTGGTGTTCCAACACATCATGGTTAGTCCATATTTATTTAGTATACCAGGCTGGTTCATGATTAGTATGTGGAGTCCTGGTGTTTGCCCTTTTCTCTTGCTTGGATATTCTGCCAGAATTCGCGTCTGCTCAGCCACGGCTTCGCGACAATATCATTCGGCCAGAAGTCTGGGTTTTCCAGTTTCTGTTTGTTCTCCAGAAGGACATTGATTTGAGCAGAAGCAAGGTATTTCTCCAGTCTGCTGAAGAGCCTCAGGTACGTAATGGTTACACCTCTGTCAGTCATATAGTTTCTTATTGACTCTTCTGTACAATCTTTGTTTATTCTTCCGATGTAATATCGTGCAGTTCGTACTCCTGGAGGTGCAGCCTTGAACTCTCCGTTTCTTTTATTTGTTGCAGCACATATGTCATTTTGAATGCACACAGGAATGCGTTTATTCTGGTCACAATGTGCTGGCGGGACAACACGTTCATTTGACTGAATCTTTGGTCCACATGTTCTTTCATGGATAGTAATACTTTCCTGTGACTGATTACAATCAGATTTATGACGGGTAGTTATTTCAGGATTGTTTGGGTTGATAGGGGGTTCTGTTCTTGTTGCAGTAGACTCACTTGTAACAGGAACCTCTTCATGATTGGTTGTCGTTTGATCTTGTGTAGGCTGTGTATGTTTCTGTGTGGTCTGTCAAGCAACGTCGGCTTATGAGGGTCCTTTTGTGATTTTAAGCACCTCCCGTTCCAAATTGTTAACTTTCTTCTTAATTTCACCATAGCTAGTAGAACAGGATTTATAGTTCTCTTCGTTGGTTTTCACATCGGATTCAAGTGACGAAACATCCTGTTTGATCAACGTAACTTTTGACTTAAGGGAGGCAATTCCCAAACTTCGTTCGTCGGAAATCTTTGAAATGTTATGGCAGCCCTGTTCCACTTTTTCATTCAATTTACCAACCACCTCTCTAAGGTCATTGTATCGTTTTGTTTTGTTCTGGCTTAATTCATTCCGTTTATACAGTTCTTCTTCTAGCGAATCAACGTCACCTTTTATTTCCCCTTGAAAACGTTGTATTTCGACTTGGGTTTTCTGTGCACATGATGTGTTTTCATCTTGATTTAGCTTCGTTCGTGATTTTGTGTCGTTCAGTTCATTTTTCACTTGAACCGTTTCTTTCATCACATAGTCTAGCTGTAGTTTTAATTTTCTATTATCCTCTGTTAAGTGATCCACTTTCTTGATTAAACAATCAATGTCTTGTGTGTATTCACCCTTCAAAGTGGCCATGTCTCTCTCAAAGCGGGCTATTGTCTCCACAAACTGAATACCTAGGTTTGATTGGTGAGCCAGTAATCCCGAGTACAATAAAGTTCAGTTCAGCAAACTCTTTGCCTGAGTGAGTGACACGGTGAATTGACTTTGAATGACACAAAAAGTAAGGAAATAGACATATACACACACCAGAAATAAAAACATTCCCTTTCAACATTTGACACTCGAACTTTGTGTTGTCACACTTGCACCTTAGAAAATTGAAACAAAATACTATCAGTTATGTTTATACACAGTTCAATAACAGAACTATTTTAGTTCAATTATATATCAATAAGGAAATCACAATGACTGTCTTCAGTCAGTGGAAACTATAACGCTAAACATCTATATTTCAAGTGCAAGTAAGTTTCACATATTTATACAGATAGATAGTGTATAATTCAACCAACATTCTGTAACTACATCTACATCACGGGCATCTAAAAGTTCCACTCATATCAAATCTAACTTGTGTACAAATGGATGCTTAATAACAAGATACCAATTAACACCGGCAAATGAACACGGATATCGTAAATCCTTAAATAATCAAACACCTAAAACTGACTGACTGATATAGAAGATTTAACGTGCGCTTTCCGACTGCAGCGTATTTCGCACACGGGCCTGGCCAGGCCATTTAGTGTATTCCGAGAAGGGTGAAAGTGGTGTGTGCAACCCAAGAGGGGGCTTTTAGGGGTTGCTTATATCGATTTTTTTGAAATTCTAAAATTTGGAATAAATGCCGAGGTGGGTGGAGGAGGGAACTAAGGGAGCCGGGTGAGGTGGGTGTTTGTATGTTTATTGGATTTTGGATTGGTAGATTAATTAGTTTTTAGATGCGCTTAATTAGGCCTGTTTTGATTAGGAATACGCCTAGGGCCTTGAAGTTTTCTAGTTTATTTTGAGGGTTTAGTATTTCATCTAGAGTAGGAACCTTATTTAGATTGAGGTTGGTTTGTAGTGTGGTTCTGTGTGTTTGGTAGTGGGTGCAGTGGATGAGTGCGTGTTCTGTGGTTTCGGGTTGTTTGCAGTGGGGGCAGTTGCCCGTGGTGTGTCTTTTAAGTTGTTTTAGGTGGTTATTTAGGTTCGTGTGTCCTGTTTGGAGTTTTGTAATTAATCTGTCAATTTTTTTAGAGGGGTGTAGGATTTTAGGTTTGGCTAGTGGTTTTCTGAGCACTTTTTTGATTTGGCTATTTGAGTTTTGATATTGATTATGCCATTTTTTGGTTATTTTTTGTTTGTTTACACTTTTAATTTCTGATTTTGAGATGGGTAGGTTTAGGCTTATTTCTGGTATTTTGAGAGATAATTTAGCTGCTTTATCGGCGTTTTCGTTGCCGTAAATTCCTACGTGGGCGGGGATCCACAAGAAGGTTATTTGTTTGTCTGCTTTTGTTAGGTCGTTGGAGCTTTTAAGTATTTGGTTTATTAATTTAGGTCGTTTTTTGGTATTTTTGTTTTGGAGGGCTTGTAGCCCACTAAGCGAGTCAGTGAGAATTAGGATTTTTTGGTTGTTTTTTGATTGTTGGTTATGCAGGGCTGAGGCCATGCCCATAAGTTCAGCCGTGAATATAGATTGGTTGTTAGGGAGTCGGTAAGATTGTGTGGATATAACTGGTTGTGTGGTATGGACTCCGAAACCTGTGTGGTTGGAGATCGGGTCTGAAGATCCGTCAGTGTATATGTGACACCAATTTGGCCAATTTTCGTGTATGTAAGAAAGTGTGGTGGTTTTAGCTATGTTTGGGTCGGTTTGTTTATTTATTTGGTTAGTTAGCGTTGTGTCTATTTGGGGTATTTTGAGTTTAGGGGTGAAGATATTTGATTTTTTGCAGTTTTGTTTAAGATTTTGAGTTTGGTGTTCATTTAGGTAGTTAGTTATTCTTTGGGATATTGGGGTGAGTAAGGGGTGTTTGCGAGCTAGAGCTTGGTTTCTTGGGCTAATGTTTTGGTTAATTAGGTTTTCGATGAGAGGGTTTGTTTGGGACGCGGCCCAGAAATTAAGGCTTAGATGTTCCCTGCGTAGATTTAGTGGCAACACCTAAAACACATTATCATCCTATTTATATTATGTCGATGTTTTGACAACAAACGACATTACCGTAGAACACTTACGGCTAGATTGGTCACGTGATGTCATCTCATTCACAAGTGCAGCACGTGCCACTAGCTAAATGTGCTAAGCTGAAGCCTTCATGTCAACATTGAATTAATCGTGACATGTAGTTGTAGTAATGACCCTGTCATTTGTGTTGTGATACGCAAAGGTATAAAGCTGTTCTGTTACAGGAAGAAGGCATTCCACTCTTGGAAACATTACATCGAGATACATACTTAGCTCTTTAGATTCGTCGAGATTAGCCAAATATCAGTTCTGTCTTTCATTATTAATTAGATCTAACAACAAGTAACATGAATCATTACGATTCCCGACTTTGTCTTCTGGCCTCTTCGGCCATGGAAACTATTGACCACAGTGGTCATGACGCAGACGGTGAGACATTTGCACTATTCACTTTTATCACATCAGGATAATAATTCATTGGTGTTGTTTTTATTCAAAGTATATTTCAACTACCCGTTCTGTTCATCAAACAAAACTCAGCTTTAATAACATTTGCAACAAATTGAATATTGTTTCATAACTGATTTCTTTTCTTATTCCAGCTGAAGGTACCTCGTCAGGCTATGACTCAAGCGACTACTCCTCTGATGAAGGCGTGAGCACGACCTCAAAATCAAGATCGTTCAGCCAATCCAGTTCCAACCCATCACAAGGCCGCTCTCACCCCTCACAGTCCTTCGGTCGGGGAGACGTCATGATGCTTAGAAGCACAGGGGACTTACAGGACAGCCTCTCCTTCATCCTCAACATGCCAGATATGTGTGACGTCACCTTTCTCGTTGGGAAGGAGAAGGCTCCTGTTCATGGAGTCAAAGCCATAATGGCTACACGAAGCAGGTAAGATATTCTCGAAAACAATCAAATCCATTACAAAGGTCAGGATAATAATAAGTGCATGTTTACGTAGAGCCTGTTTCGCTCTTATACTCTGTGAATGTACTCAACATGAGAACAATATTTGGACCATTTACTAGTTGTGTATGAATATTGTCTTTAATTTCTTTCTTTCTTTTCTCTAGGTACCTATATCAGCTTTTGCTTCAACATCAGAAACACTCCTCCTTGGAACGATCAAAGACCAAAAAGATCAAAGACTCAGCCTTTGCACAGAAACTCACCATCAGCATTCCTGACTACCAGATTGGAGACTTTCGGGCGTTCCTCAAATTCGTCCACTCGGGGAAAGCTAACATCGATTTTAACAATGTGGTTGGTAAGTACTATCTTTATTTGTTTAAATGGGATATTCATTTCAACACAAAAATATCCCCATACCACTAATCTTGATGACACATGAGCGAAACACAGACAATTTCCATAATATTAACTTCACCCTTTTGATGATATTTTATCAAACACATTACAATACGTCCTCGGCTCTTTCAGGATTACTCTGTGCATCTGTGGAATTTGGATTCTCCGACCTACAAACGGCCTGTATGCAGTTTGTCCAGAGATGTCAAAATCAGGGACATGGTCCAGCCCTTCTGGATTTAGCCTGGACCTACCAACACAAACGACCAGCACAGAAGCTCGTCTGTCAGGTATGTAACATACTTTCCTTCAGGTTCTCTTGGCCATGATCTCACTTGGGCCACATGCATTCTAAAATTAATTGATTTCGTTGGGAAACATTTCAAGGACCCAAATGATTCTTAATGTGATTGATAAATTTTGACTGCAAAAAACACTTCGAATATTACATGATTAAATACTCTCTACTGCGGTTCTAATTTTTGCAAATTGACTCTTTTCCAGCTGTCAGGTGTAACCAGATGAAAAGACCAACCGAACTTACAAGAAGGTTCCAAACAGTAGGATCAATATCCACACTATACTCACAGTTCCCAACAAGAGGATGAACCAACAGCAGCAAGCCTGTTGTCCAAGACGACGAAGACGACGCCAAGAAGAAGACATCAGTCACTGTCGCTCAGTCCCATAACGTTTAGAGCGTCACAAGGTTGGGGATGACTAAGACGAAGATAAAGTCATCAAGACACTCTCTGTGTGAAGTCGATAGCATTGTCAGACATGATGCTTGACTTGCACATTGTACGTTGTTGTTTATGTGAAGGAACAAAGCATACCGACACGTACTTAACAGTGTCATTGTACTAATGTTACTTGTCAGTGTCAGTGTGCTTGTGTGTAAACATCGCGACACAAGTTATGCATTACTATGTTCATTAAACAATATTGGCAGAAAATATGAACCTGTTTAAGTTTAACATTTTCACCTTGCTTGCAAGGTGACCGTTCATGTTGTAACAATGAAACAGATACAATACCTGCAAGAACGTGTATTATCATATGATAGATTACACTGAGCATTACAGGAACTGCGATTTTATCTGAATTGCGATTTTGCCAGAAAATAAAATAGTTCAACAATACAAAATATGTTTCCGTTCATTTTCAACGTTGACAGGTGTGGCCTAGAGCGCCGCATTTCTTAATGCACACTTGCGTTCTTTAGACGGCCAAGAATCCTATGGTTGTTGGTTTGAAACTAGATCCACTCTGATTATGATTCTCAGTTTGCCAGCAATAAACCCTGCACATCGGTTTCACCAAAGTTGTGCACCATTATCGGCTTTCCTCCCACATTTACATGATATACTGCATATCAAACTTATAAATAAAGAACATATTGGTGCCAATTGTACCTGCAAAGAGCTTCCTTCATCAAAAGAACTTGAACACGCATGTTAATGTCATTAGCTCATTTGTATATAATTAGGTGTGATGTATGTCTCACATGTAAATTGCAATGAACTTTGATATTTCACCCGTTCGAATGAGAAAATACAACACATAAGATTTTTTGTGAGCGTGCATGTAACCATAATTAGAAACTGTGGAAAGTTAAAGCCTTCATTAGGCTTGATGTTAATGCTTAGTTAAGAGTAGTTGAAACAAAGTTATTTCTTGAAATCCAACTGGATTGGCAAACAAGCCCATGTCTTATGTTGATGCCAATCCATTACAAGCTATACAGCATGGGATATAAGTGCAGAAGCAGTGAGCGCAAAGGTTCTAGTTATATGTTGCAACTTTGTTTCTCAAACTGCCTTGATTGCCAGTCAATTCAAATGCAAACAAGTACCACTTGACTAGCCTGTCTACAACATCTATCAGCAACCGTACAATCACACATTCCATTATGATTAAACAAATACACATCGCTGAGTATATCATCTATAGCCAAGCCCTCTACTCAACAAATCGTTGCGCCTCCGCTCAGTTTCAAATCATGCGGTCATGTGTCACGAGCAATCCCGAGTACAATAAAGTTCAGTTTAGCAAACTCTTTGCCTGAAGAGTGACACGGTGAATTGACTTTGGCTGACACAAATTGTAAGGAAACAGCAGGGTGTCATATACACACACCAGAAAAAAACACACTCTCTTTCAACATTTGACACTCTAACTTTGTGTTGTCACACTTGCAATTGGGAAAATTGAAACAAAAAACTATCAGTTATGTTTATACACTATTCAATAACAGAACTATTTTAGTTCAATTATATATCAATAAGGAAATCACAATGACTGTCTTCAGTCAGTGGAAACTATAACGCTAAAACATCTATATTTCAAATGCAAGTAAGTTTCACATATTTATACAGATAGATAGTGTATAATTCCACCAACATTCTGTAACTACATCTACATCACGGGCATCTAAAAGTTCCACTCATATCAAATCTAACTTGTGTACAAATGGATGTTTTATAACAAGATACCGATTAACACCGGCAAATGAACACGGATATCGTAAATCCTTAAATAATCAAACACCTGAAACACATTATCATCCTAATTATATTATGTCGATGTTTTGACAACAAACGATATTACCGTAGAACACTTACTATATTGGTCACGTGATGTCATCTCATTCACAAGTGCAGCACGTGCCACTAGCTAAATGTGCTAAGCTGAAGCCTTCATGTCAACATTGAATTAATCGTGACATGTAGTTGTAGTAATGACCCTGTCATTTGTGTTGTGATACGCAAAGGTATAAAGCTGTTCTGTTACAGGAAGAAGGCATTCCACTCTTGGAAACATTACATCGAGATACATACTTAGCTCTTTAGATTCGTCGAGTTTAGCCAATTATCATTTCTGTCTTTCATTATTAATTAGATCTAAAAACAAGTAACATGAATCATTACGATTCCCGACTTTGTCTTCTGGCCTCTTCGGCCATGGAAACTATTGACCACAGTGGTCATGACGCAGACGGTGAGACATTTGCACTATTCACTTTTATCACATCAGGATAATAATTCATTGGTGTTGTTTTAATTCAAAGTATATTTCAACTACCCGTTCTGTTCATCAAACACCACTCAGCTTTAATAACATTTGCAAAAAATTGAATATTGTTTCATAACTGATTTCTTTTCTTATTCCAGCTGAAGGTACCTCGTCAGGCTATGACTCAAGCGACTACTCCTCTGATGAAGGCGTGAGCACGACCTCAAAATCAAGATCGTTCAGCCAATCCAGTTCCAACCCATCACAAGGCCGCTCTCACCCCTCACAGTCCTCCGGTCGGGGAGACGTCATGATGCTTAGAAGCACAGGGGACTTACAGGACAGCCTCTCCCTCATCCTCAACATGCCAGATATGTGTGACGTCACCTTTCTCGTTGGGAAGGAGAAGGCTCCTGTTCATGGAGTCAAAGCCATAATGGCTACACGAAGCAGGTAAGATATTCTCGAAAACAATCAAATCCATTACAAAGGTCAGGATAATAATAAGTGCATGTTTAAGTAGAGCCTGTTTGGCTCTTATACTCTGTGAATGTACTCAACATGAGAACAATATTTGGACCATTTACTAGTTGTGTATGACTATCGTCTTTAATTTGTTTCTTTCTTTTCTCTAGGTACCTATATCAGCTTTTGCTTCAACATCAGAAACACTCCTCCTTGGAACGATCAAAGACCAAAAAGATCAAAGACTCAGCCTTTGCACAGAAACTCACCATCAGCATTCCTGACTACCAGATTGGAGACTCTCGGGCGTTCCTCAAATTCGTCCACTCAGGGAAAGCTAACATCGATTTTAACAATGTGGTTGGTAAGTACTATCTTTATTTGTTTAAATGGGATATTCATTTCAACACAAACATATCCCCATACCACTAATCTTGATGACACATGAGCGAAACACAGACAATTATCCATAATATGAACTTCACCCTTTTGGTGATATTTTATCAAACACATTACAATACGTCCTCGGCTCTTTCAGGATTACTCTGTGCATCTGTGGAATTTGGATTCTCCGACCTACAAACGGCCTGTATGCAGTTTGTCCAGAGATGTCAAAATCAGGGACATGGTCCAGCCCTTCTGGATTTAGCCTGGACCTACCAAAACAAACGACCAGCACAGAAGCTCGTCTGTCAGGTATGTAACATACTCTCCTTCAGGTTCTCTTGGCCATGATCTCACTTGGGCCACACGCATTCTAAAATTAATTGATTTCGTTGGGAAACATTCAAGGACCCAAATGATTCTTAATGTGATTGATAAATTTTGACTGCAAAAAAAACTTCGAATATTACATGATTAAATACTCTCTACTGCGGTTCTAATTTTTGCAAATTTACTCTTTTCCAGCTGTCAGGTGTAACCAGATGAAAAGATCAACCGAACTTACAAGAAGGTTCCAAACAGTAGGATCAATATCCACACTATACTCACAGTTCCCCAACAAGAGGATGAACCAACAGCAGCAAGCCTGTTGTCCAAGACGACGAAGACGACGCCAAGAAGAAGACATCAGTCACTGTCGCTCAGTCCCATAACGTTTAGAGCGTCACAAGGTTGGGGTTGACGAAGACGAAGATAAAGTCATCAAGACACTCTCTGTGTGAAGACGATAGCATTGTCAGACATGATGCTTGACTTGCACATTGTACGTTGTTGTTTGTGTGAAGGAACAAAGCATACCGACACGTACTTAACAGTGTCATTGTACTAATGTTACTTGTCAGTGTCAGTGTGCTTGTGTGTAAACATCGCGACACAAGTTATGCATTACTATGTTCATTAAACAATATTGGCAGAAAATATGAACCTGTTTAAGTTTAACATTTTCACCTTGCTCGCAAGGTGACCGTTCATGTTGTAACAATGAAACAGATACAATGCCTGCAAGAACGTGTATTATCATATAATAGATTACACTGAGCATTCCTGGAACTGCGATTTTATCTGAATTGCGATTTTGCCAGAAAATAAAATAGTTCAACAATACAAAATATGTTTCCGTTCATTTTCAACGTTGACAGGTGTGGCCTAGAGCGCCGCATTTCTTAATGCACACTTGCGTCCTTTAGATGGCCAAGAATCCTATGGTTGTTGGTTTGAAACTAGATCCACTCTGATTATGATTCTCAGTTTGCCAGCAATAAACCCTGCACATCGGTTTCACCAAAGTTGCGCACCATTATCGGCTTTCCTCCCACATTTACATGATATACTGCATATTAAACTTATAAATAAAGAACATGTTGGTGCCAATTGTACCTGCGCGCAAAGAGCTTCCTTCATCAAAAGAACTTGAACACGCATGTTAATGTCATTAGCTCATTTGTATATAATTAGGTGTGATGTATGTCTCACATGTAAATTGCAATGAACTTTGATATTTCACCCGTTCGAATGAGACAATACAACACATAAGATTTTTTGTGAGCGTGCATGTAACCATAATTAGAAACTGTGGAAAGTTAAAGCCTTCATTAGGCTTGATGTTAATGCTTAGTTAAGAGTAGTTGAAACAAAGTTATTTCTTGAAATCCAACTGGATTGGCAAACAAGCCCATGTCTTATGTTGATGCCAATCCATTACAAGCTATACAGCATGGGATATAAGTGCAGAAGCAGTGAGCGCAAAGGTTCTAGTTGTATGTTGCA